CATGCCTATATTTTTTTGCCTCTAATATCTCCTTGGTTCTTTTAATAATGTTTATGTATTTCTCTTTGCTATTAGCATTTGAAGATTTTTCAGCATTAACTTTGAAATGGAATCACAATTCATTTATCTTGGAATGTGTGCTGAGAAGTAATCAATTGTAGCATCACTTTATTGATGGTGTTTTGAAAGTCTTCCAGAAAAACCTCTTTGCCTTGTTCTGTAGTTCATTCTGATGGGATTGATTTATGCTAAATATATGTCCTTGGGTTCCACAAGAGCTGCATTTCAGTGGTTGGCATATTCCTATCCTTCATTGGCATTAATAATAGTAAAAAAAAGGATAATGTTGCTCAAGAAAATACTACAGCCATTAGCAGAATTTAATTATTCAGAGAAGTACAATGGAACCATTAATAAGACACTGTGATGACATCAAATACCACCCACAAAACAGGAACATTCTTATACTCTCGTGCAGATTTCACAGACTCGTTTGTGGTAAGAAAGAAAAATATTGAACACAAAATCTGCTTAATTATGAAGCAAAAGTGATTTCAAATTAAGAGAGGAAATAACATTTGTGAAAGAGGGTGGAATAGTAAAATACTGTGTTCTTCTTATATTTTATATGCAACATTCATTAATCCCATGGCAGAAAAATTTCCAGAGGCAAGACAGACCTCTGTAAGCCTCAGGTTAAAGTTTCCCTCTTTAAAGAGTGAAAACCAATGAACTCTAGAAAAAAATTTTAAAAAGAAGAATTAAAATAATCAATATGACAAAGCAAATGTATGCAGAATAGCTGCAAAAGGTTTATTGGAATAACAGTGCAATTGCATTTAAAAATCTAGAGACATCTCTGGGGAGACAAACCTGTGTCAGATGTAAAAAGATACAAATTTTTAAATTTTCAAGTATTTAATGAAACCTCTCAACTGTAACAGGCTTGCTAAATTATTTATTGAAAAATCTAATTAGTACATATAGCTCTTAGAGCTTGGATTTAGTCTTTCTGAAGTGACCCATATATCTCTCAGAGAACAGGCTATCAGAAGAACTCCAAAGATTGCAAAAATTGCTAAAAGATATTAAAGAATAAATTTCGTCTTTCCATGTAATATCAACTGCATTATTTTCCCCTGATCTACATTATGGGGGAAGCAATAAATGTTGTATATTAAGAGACAAAAAATAAATATATTTTATCTTGTTCCATGAATGTTCAGGCTTCTGAAATTCATGAAGGACAAAACACTTTCAAGAAACCATTACTAGGGATCACTAACTTCCTCCTTTATAGATGTTTTAACATGAAGTAATGTTTTTCTAAGTATAATTTGTTGACAGAAGTTTCTCACTTTCAGAAAGCATAAGTTTAAGCAGACAAATAGGACAATGGACAGCTTTTCCTGGTGTTGGACTTGGTCTCCTGGAAGGTACTGTGGTGTGTGCAATGCCAGTAAGAGGGAGAATCACCCCACTATTAGTCATGATGCTGGAACTCTGCTTAAAGAAGGTGTTCTTCTTCATGAAAACTGGACTTGTGCTGCCTTTCCTTACATCCTGGGGAAAAATATGTGTATATGTGTTTGCAAGAAGGCAAGAAAGGGAGGAACTATTCTAAAAAGTAACAATTAGTTGGAAGAAACATACTTGTCAGAGAAGTGAGTTCTGGGAAAGAATCTGAAAAAGCTAAAAAAGCTGAAATGGTCAAACAGAGTTTTTTCTATAATCCAGTGAATGCATCATTTAAGACATTAATTGCCAGTAAGAAAAAGAGACAATAGAAAGAGAACAATGGCTGATCATGTGTAAATCACTGAGTCACATTCAAGCATCATAATCACAGGTAAGTTACAGGTTCAAGAAAATACTGTATTTCCAAGACATTAGTATCTTCAAGATATCTGTAGAGGCAGTGATATTATTTACAAAATAGATTTTTTTGTTTTTACTCTTAGAAATGTGCCTATTTTAATGATAGATTCCCTTATTAGCAATATGAACAGGATTTCTACAATGTCCTACCACCAATCGAGAGAGGAACAGAGAAAATGTCTGTGTTTCTGGAGCCCACTGCTGTGCATGGCTGGACTGAGAGGGGAAGGGAGTACAGGCTACTGCTATACAGAAACACAGAGAGAACAAGTAGGAAAGCTCCTGCAGCACTCAGAGGAAATACAAGTGTCCCAGAATACAGAAATGGATTTTTCAGGGAAAAATAGATATACTTTCAAAAGCCAGGTTGGAAAAGATGAACATGGTGAAGACGTGCCCTCAGCAAGCTGCTGCCAATGGGCTGTGCTACAGAGCACCATTTACTTTTGCTTCCCTGCTGTTAGGTACTGCAGGTGTTCTGTTATGCCTGCATTTTCATATCCTGTCTTTAACATAATTTGTCTGATTTTATATATTTATTTTTTATATTAGTCCCAGGAAATTCATTAACTGACCTGCTGTTTTAATATTTCCTCCATGCTACAGGAAGACAATTTTCAATATTTTGTGCAAAGATTAAAACGTTCGCTCAAAATTCTTGCTCATATTTATTTAAGGACAGTTTTCTTCTACCTGTACAGTGGTGGCAGTTTTTCCTAGAAATACATCTTCCATGTGGGAAATCTTAACTTCTAGTACAATAAATGCACTGACAGCCAGAATAAAGTATGAACAAGACAGATAGCAAGTGAGGGAAAACTATAAGAGGCCAGGTATTATTTTTAATTTATGGAAACAGACTATGGTTATTAACTGCTTCTAAATCCCAGTAAAAGCTCATTATGCCCAGTTAGTTACACTTTTCATTCTCTTTAGAAATGTAGTAATCCAGATACTAAAGGATCTATTCTTTCATGTGCTAGGGAAATTTAAGCAAGAAAGTGAAAGGCCTGATGGTTATTGGCACTAGTGTTGACATTTAAGAATTCAAGAGTCTCTCTGAGGAGCTGAACCTGTGTCAATTGTGAAAGGAAAGGGGGTTGTGAAATAATTTCATTCCTATAATGAAATTGCTGACATGAAATCTCCCAGTTGCTGAATTATTTAGAGGAGGAAAAAGTAGTAAGTAAAATTTGCTTTTGTCATTACTAAAATAATTGCTTCTGTATTTTCTACTTTCACATTTTTCTCTGGAGGCTTTTTATATCGACAGGTGGACTTTCACCACGTAAAGGCTTTTAGCAATTTCTTTTATGAAGTAAGTCATACAGAAGGAAATAAATAAGATGGTCAACAGATTAAACTTTATGAAATGCTCAGTAGCAGCAGCCACTTAATCTTTTTGGGATTGTACATTTTATGTGAAGAAGGCCTGTGTGGGTGTCTCAGAAAAAGTTCTTCTCTTTTTGAACTCGCATAGACCAAATGGGCCTTGCAAATAGGACTTTCAAACAAAAAATAAAGTCCAAGTCTACACTGGAGCAAGCTGAAATGTCAGAGTATTAAATGAATGCCTCTTTTTGAATGCTTCTTTTGTTTAGTCAGGTTTTGCCTAAGTGTAGCTTAAGGGTGTAATTTCCTTGTGGTGATTTGGTTATAGCACAAACACAGCTTCCTGAAGGCTTTTTCTCCAGGTTTGGAAAATGACTTCACTGCAGTCACACATGTTTAAGTTCCGCTGCTTTCCAGAATTTGCATAGTTTTACCAGAACAATGGCAAAAATCAATTATTGCAAGATCCTTTTAAACTTAACGTGACACTAAGGGGTAACAATTGCTTCTACCTATATGTGTTTGTAAAAAATATTGATTGTGAATTTGCCTTTTGTGTTCATGCATCAGTGTTTATTACTCACTGAATTTGCAATTTTCCTCCACTGCTATGCTAACAAATTTCTTCAGTGAGGTACTGCCAACAAATCTTTTTTTAATGTGGTTTTCCATCTCCTGATATTGAGCCTTTATACCCTCACACCTCCAACTCTCAACTTTTTCATTTCAAGACCTAACTCCTCATCTATCTGCTGACTTTTAATCTGTCTCTGTAAAGCCTTATTGTACATCTAACTCTTACAGTGTCATTTTTTTTCCCTAGTGGTTAACCAAAGGATTTTCAATGGAACTACAGCAAATAATGAACAGTAAACATTTCTGGGAATATAATGAGAATATAGATATTTATATGGGACTGAGCATTCAGAGACAATAAAGTTAACTCTTGGCAGAATTCTGGCAGTGAGGGAGATTTTGCATGGTATGACTCCAGCTATTCAAAAGAAAATAGAACACTGCTATGGGAAATTGCAAAACATTGACGGCCAATCATTTGTCATTTCTGATAAGTTATATATCTTAGTTAGAATTTTAAAAAGCAGTACAAATTATTCCTAGTTATATTTCTTATCACATATTCCTTTGGTGTGAAGATGGGAAGAAGAAAAGGCTGTGACACTGTGTAAGCACTGCTCAGTTATAGCTAAAACATCCCCATGTTATCAAGCACAGATCTCTCTGTTTCCAACACAAACCCAAAATGTAGCCCCATACTAGTTACTGTGGAGAAAATTAACTCTACCTCAGCCAAAACCAGCACATAGATATTCTCTTTCAGTGAAAGAAATAATGCTTCAAAGAACCATTCTGAAGAGGAAGCTGCACTGAGTAAAAGTTTTGCTGAGACATATGAGCTGATATGGAAATCAAGGTGGTCAGAGATTATGAAAAAGGCAGCATTTTTCTCCTCAATTAGCCTCAACTGCAAATAAACTGCAGAAATTCCTGTGTTAATTATGAACAAAAAAAAAAACAACAAAAAAACCCCAAAGAAAAACCAAAAAAAACCCCACAAAACTTTGGTTTAAAGGTTTGTAATGATTCTGCAATAGACTTTAGGTAAGGGGTTAGGACAAAAAAGAAATTTTCTTGAGATGGAGATTTGTAAGTTCAGTAGATTTTAGAATGAGACTGGATGTGGTGAGCCAGATTGTTTTTTCCAGTCTAGTTTGGTTATGCAGCTGCTGTTTACCCTGACAGTTACCTGACTGCTTGTCTTTAATTCTCAGGTCTTAAATGAGGGCCATTTATTAAGTCTGAAATGTCTTCAACACTTTGATGAATCTAAGAAGCTCTTGCGGAACTGAGACAACCAGGAAGCATTTTATTTCATGCTCAGGTATGTTGAAAATGCTAATGTATGACAAGTTTAAACTGCTACAGTTTTTCTTCCTGTCTTTTACTAATGTAAATATGAGAGAGATTATTTATGGGCTATTTCTTAACATCAATGTACAGCCTTATATCACCATTTGGCTTTCTTACAATGTCTGAAGTGGTGAAGGTTGTTCAAGTAGACCAGTCAGTGACTTGTGATTTACCATCTCTTTTTCATTGAAATGCTATGCCAGGGTAATAAAGCATAACAGCTCCCTCATACCCTGCCTTAATCATTGCTTGATGTTGCATGAAGTCATAGTAACAACAAGTCCAAATTCAATATCTATTGGCTTCCTCATAGCATACTAAGTGGCTGATGATTTTTAGCTGTTGGAAGTTCTTCTGCTTTCCTTTTACCCCATGAGCTAGAAGCTTTTCAGATTCTTTGTTCTAATATATTTGTGGTTTGGGACATTGGCATTCCCAGGTTCACATTTGATCTGATGTGACTGACTATAATGCGGATCTGGCTTTGTGACTGAACTGGTGGGCTAAAATTAATTTTTCATGAGTGAAATGAAATATGCATTTGTAAAATAAAATTCATCTAAGGCAAGAGCAGCTAAGATGAAACATGCCCTAAACATACCTATATACCTCCTTCATATTGTCAATTACAAGAAGAACCTCTGGCAATGAGGTCAGAGATAGAAATCTACAGTTTAGGTATCTAAATGAGGTCAGACTATACCACATATAATATGAATTTGTGAAGTTTAATATGTAGGTTGCCTTAATATTTGTCAATTCCATCAGAAACTTGTGACATCCCTGTATCTGGCTTCCATCTGTGTGTGCAGTCTCATTTCCAATAGCTTTTGGTTTTTTTGCTTACCACCAAATGACTTCAGGCCTCAGCTTATTCAAGGAACAGAGTTTTCTCCTCATTCTGTGACTTCTGTGAACACTTTTCATTTTGTCCTTTTCAGATTTTTAATTGCTTCCTTCTTAGAAGAACAAAGAAATCTCCTACAGACTGAGAGCTAACAGCTGATATACTGGAGGAAAGTGCAGTCTCTGCTCCCATTTGCTTAACCGTGGCTCATGACAGCTTCCAAGAGATCCCCTTTCCTCACCAGGAAGCTCTGGAGCACCACCCACTTATTTAAAAATTATTTTCTATTTGAGGCTGTGTCACAAAGAGCTGATAGAACCTTTTTGTATCCTTGATTACCATTGAGCCATTAGGGAAATCCCTACCAAACGGAACAAATGCAGAGCAGAAATTTTCACACAATTTTTTGTTGATATTATTGCAAAGCCTGTTCAGTGACAACTGTGAGATTATTTGGAATAATATTTTACTGTATTGTCTGTACAGTAAAATACAATGCAAACCATAGTCACAGTCATCCCTAGATGACACCCAAGGTGTTATATCAGGCAGGTTCCCCAAAATTACAGCAAGCAAGATGCCAGGTTATTTTCTAATCTTGAAAGAAGGTACCCTTGTTTCACTATGCATCAGTCCAGTGCTACAATGCTGGTTTTTATCATGCCAAAATGTTACATGTAACTTTTTATTGTGTTTTACATTCAAAATGCACTATCATTCTGGACTTGGTTAGGGTATAATATCAAAGTTTAATTTTTACAACAATTTAACACGTTTTGTCACATAGATCTAAGCTAAAGAGATGCTTAATTTCTGTTTTCTGGCATACTAACATCTCTAAAAGTAAACAGCATGTCCATAGTTTACTGTTCATTAAAGCTTAAACTAAACAATAATCAGTCTGTGAGATCCAGGCATTTAAAGTCAGTTTTGTAATTTTCTTCAGTTTACTTGTTTATACTGTAGCTCAGCAGTTAAGGCAGTTTCAGCCTGTGATAGAGATCATTACTGAATGTTATTCTCTGGTGTTTCATTGACAATTCTCTGTATAACACACACCTATGGCTATAACTATAACTAGAAAGGCTATAACTGTGCTATAGCCTTTCTAAAGGAAACTTAGTTTTATAGTTCTGTAAACACTTTTATTCTAAAACAACACTTCTTCAATTATTTTACCAGTTATTAAAATAGTAAATTGTTATTAAATTATTTTACTTATTATTTTTGATATATTGGCTTTTGAATTTACATTTCCGGGTCTTAGGTGGTTTTTTTTTTCTTTGTAGTTATTCTTAGTTTGAAAGGCTCTACTATTTTTAATCAAAATAAAGAAAAATTATGGGCATTCCCCTAATTGGAGAAAATATTGTATCATAATTGAATAAACTCTTACAATGCCTTGCCAGAACACTGATGCGGGGGTCATTTACATGACTGATGCTTTCTCTCAAAGATGCTGAGAGATTCATAGGCTGCATTAGATTCCAGGGAGGGGCTGTACCAGAGATTCCCTACTTGATTAGAAGAGATGCATTGTTCCATCTGGCAAAAAGAGGCAGTGATGTAAGTGGGAATAAAGGGCAAGAACTTTACTCAGTTGAAGAAAATAGACAAAAGGGTAAACATCTAGATACATCTGCCTTGTCAGCTCAACACAAAAGGGCAGGAGAACTGGAAACCTTCAAATGAGTTTCTATCGACCAAAGCAATAGCATAGTCTCATTAAAAGGAGTGGCATGGGAAGATGCAAAGCTGCCCAGGGGCTTCTAACTGTTCTAGTACTATTTGTTCACCCTTTATTTAACACCACCATTAGAAAGCCTAATGGACTGTTTATATCAGACTATTAGACACATGGCAAGATCTTTAGTAATTGGAGTGTGATATATAGAAATGGGCTATTGTTCGCTTGTTGCTACCTAGATTCAGGCCAGTGCTGAATATTTATTTACTGCACATTCCAGATATAAAGGCAGAGGGGATAGAGGTGCCAGAGAAAAATGCTAGGATGAAAACAGGCTTTCCTGAGGTCCTGCAAGCTGAAACATTAGCTGCTTGTTTTAGCTGGATTTTTTTACACAGCATGGTGGGTTATTTGATAATATCAGCTTGAGGCTATGCTTAGATCATGTTTCCTCAGAACACTGTCTGGAAGGCTGTGCCAGACTGTAGCGTCATTAAATATATATTACAAATGCTCCAACAAATTAGGTAATTAATTAAAATACATTTCTGTAGGAGAGGCCATTTGATACTGCTATTGTTCTCATGGTAGATTAAGTTTGATGATGCTGTATTTATGATATTCTTTCTGAGCCATTAAAACCTATTACTGGCTTTGGAGAAAGCATATTTGAAAGCAAGGGTTTTTGTCATGTTTCAAATACATTTGTGAAGTCAAAAACACATTAGCAATGTTAAATTTTCTTTCATTTCTTCTAGAAAATAAATACTGAATGTGTAGGACTGAAGATAAAGCAATAAAGCTCTTACAGAGGAATTGAAAAACCCCAACAAGAAAACCAAGAACACTCTTCCCACTCGACAGTCCTCATTTTTGTCAGACTAGTCTTTGTGACTCTCTAGAGTGTGAGTACATTGTAGGCTTAGCTGGGTTTTGTATTTGCTGTAGCAACACAATGCAAATAAACAAAGTACGAAGGATATCTAGCCCCAAGTGCTAGCCACAATTAAAAACTCCCAAACAGCCGTCAATGTTTGTTTTCTATCTTTTATATTGAAATCAAGTAACGGTGCACACACAGCAGAAAAATTCCTGTATGGAATCCAGAGCACGTTCTTGCCCATCTCTGCTCTGGGGGGGCTGTGGGGCTGTGTCTGCAGGAGGAGGTTGGGCAATTTCTTGTGCAGGGTGGGGAAACAGATGAATTCCTTTGGGGAAGACCAAGGCAGGCTGCCAGCAGGGCTCCCTCGTGAGAAAGAAGACCAAACCCTGATGAGCAGCCCTTATTTTTCTTCTTAAATAAGATTTAAGCATTTCCTGTCTTTTTAAGCATTTCCTGTCTTTTGAGTAATGAAGAAAAATACTGTAGAATTTTGTGCAAGTAATCTTCAGTTTATTTTAGTATGCCACAGCAATATCTATACAGAACAATAGGCTGTCTTTTGGATGCCAGGCTTCAGACCTACAACTTGGAGAACCTGATTCTTCTTTCAGAGCAATTTAATCTCATTTCCTGCCATGAGATTTCAGCTGATAGATATGCAATAATTAAAAGGTCACGTATGCCTAGAAATTCCTGAAGTGTAGCATCCATAGGGATTTTGCCTAGGAATAAAGGGCAGCAAAGCAATGAAAATTATTCTCTTGAAAGTGAAAAATAGATTTTTTTCACTAATCAGTGGACAGACAGGAACAATCAATACCCAATCTAAAGAAGAAAAATCAATACCACTCAAAACACATGGTTCCTCTTTTGCACAGGTTATCCTACTATAACATTTTTTATCACATAGCTTGGAAAATTCCAGTACATTTGCATATAAATTCTCTTCCATCAACAATGTCCAATTTGCTCTCCCAGCTCTGTTACTGTTGAAAAAGATAAAACATACACCATTGCTTCCACTTCTACCACAATTTATAAAGAAGAACTGGTTAAGTATTATTATAGCAATCATACTCCATAATGATTATTCCATCCCTTCATAATAGTGTAGTATAAAGGTTCTGCTGTTTATTAATTCCTTTTTATTGAAATATTGACATAAAATACAAATTTCTTATCAATAATTTTTATAATATGATATCAAAGTTATAATAATTGTTAAATAGCTAACAAAAACAATTACTGATAAAGCAAGTTTAGTGAAGGGACTTACAACAGCAAATTACTGATCAATAGTATCAAAAGCTAGACTGTTAATAAAGATGACAGCTACTGCCCACTGTATATAGGAAAAGAAGAAATCTGAAAATAGTAATCAAATTAACCTTATTATTTTCTCAGGGAATATTTGTAAGAACTTACGCCCATTTGCCACACAGTCCAATGGCACTGAGCAAACAGAAATAAATCTCCAAGTTTTATGAGCATCAACACAGTGAAAATTTTATTGTTGATCTAATTAACATGAACTGAAGGTAATAGGATGGCTTAAAAAACAATTGCAATTGGGATATATTTTCCCTTCCATAAAGACACCAGTGTGTGCATTTTTGCCTAAAACATGCTTCACTCAAAAGCATTTACTGTTCTTGACAGCTGAAGGGGCAGAGGGTAGACAATTTATTGCACAGCTCATTGCAAGCATGATCATGAGAAATAATTTCAGATACTCACAACCAGAGAGTGATAGAATCAGTCCATCCTAAGGTTAATGTGAAATCCAAATCAGTTCACTAAAAGTTTGCTTATAGTGCAATTTGTTTGTATCAGCATGGTTGTCATCTGCCCCACAAAACATCTGGTAAAGCACATGTTGCATCAAGGTAAGGAAATTCTCAACCTTCTGGATAAACAGCTCTCAGACATATAGTTCTTGTCATAGTAAAGTGGATAAGTTATTTATAAAATTATACATTATCATGAGGAATATCTGAGAGAGATGTAGAAATTAATTTCCAATTGCTGAAATGAAGCGAGGAACTGAAAAGGCTCATAAGGGTTTTCAAAAGAAGGCATTTATTAATAAAAAATTAATTTGACAAATAGGATAAATTTCAGACCTAAACATTTTCATATCTTTGCAGCATATTTCTACAGAGCAGAAGTACAGAAAAAAATTGAGAGAGTAAGGAAGTTCGTGAAACTGTGGTGCTAAAATGTGAGAAATTTTTGAACCATTTAATTTGATTAATATGAAAAGATTCCTCCAAAGTCCAGGGCAAATATCTGCTAACCCACCCCTATTCTAAATATTTATTTCCCCGTTGATTCCTTATTATTTTTACTATGTCCATTCCTCTTTTTCCATTTAATCATTCTATATCTCAATTCATGATTCTAAAATACCACTGCTTTCTTCTTTCTTTCCTCTACATCTGTTCTATCTCATCTTCAAAGCTTTCAGTTCTGTAAGAGTCCAATTTTTACTATATGTTCAAGACTTTAAGCTTTTGGGTATTTTTTTTAGTGTGTGATATCTTTAAAGCAGATACTTACATGTTTACCAGTGCAAGGCAGCCTACCAACCTGTGTTACTGCACTGTCTTAATGACCAAGCACAGAAATATAGATCACTGAGTGGTTTGTGTTGGAAGGGACCATAAATATCAATCTAGTTCCAACCCCACAGCCTTGGGCAGGGGTGCTTTCCACTAGACCAGGTTGTCTCTAGAGACCTATCCAGCCTGGTCTTGAACATTTCCAGGGATGGAGAGTCCAAAACTTATCCAGCCTACCTGTTCCAGTGCCTCACCACCCTGTGAGTAAAGAATTTCTTCCCAATATCTCACCTAAACTCTACTCTCAGCTTAAAACCATTGCCACTTGATCCTGTCATGTCCTGCCTTTGTCTAGTGCAAGACTGACAATGGATAAAAATCCACCTGTGTTTCATAATTCACTACACAGAAAATTCTATGCTGTCCCTGTGTAGCAGTTTGTCAGTTCCTTCTTGAAACTGAGGGAAATGATTTTTGTTGAGCAGTACTCCAGTTATAACGTGCTGAGTTTTTCTGGAGGGTGAGATGATGGCCCTGATTCTTCCTCAGTCTTTGAGTTGCCTCTTCTCTCAGAGAAGCTGGGAGTTCATGTACCTTCATTTGCTGCTGCCAGAAGGCACAAGAAGCTTTGGAGATGGTTCTGGAGCAAATTGCAGGAGTGAGTTGTAGTTACACAGGACATCACAATAGGAAAAGGATAATGTACATCTGGAGGCATGACTGATATAAATGACATACTCTGATCATGGTTAGAACCAATCCAAAGTCGTGTTCCCATGCTGAAGATGTCCTCCTGCCACTTCTTTTGTATCACTTCCAAGGATTAGCATGGATACGTAACTTTTGGTGTCTTCTGTGTACTGCTGCTTTATATGTCTGCATTACCTGAATTACACTCCCTCAGCTACTATTCAGTAACTAGTGACAGATTGGAGAATTAACATACTGCAATGTTCCCTCGGTGATGGCAATTAGTTGCCAACATTGTTCATGCTTTACCTGCCACCAGGATGGTGTACTTCTGCCTTAGTGTTATCTGCTTCTGCTGTTCCAAGATATTGGCAATGGACTTTGCACACTCAGTTTTGATGTACCTGGAAAATGTCCAGATTATATTCTCATGAGAAAGAAGATTCCAGATACTCTTGATTGCAAATTCTTGCAAAGGGGCAAGTAAAAGGAAATTGAAGACCAAGTATGTCTGGTAATGAATATTTGTAACAGAATTATGCTTTAGTAGTGTATTCCATCTAAAACACTTAAATTTATCATTAATAAAA